CAACCCATGGGGGCCGCTGAGTATTAATAAGGTAAGAACTCCATAACTTTTTTTTATCGTGAACGGTGCCTTTAAGTGGTTTACCCTTTCACAGACAGGGAGTAGAAGTCAGCTTCATCAGAAATTTACCCCAACTTTCTTTTGAAGTTCTCGCCAACTAGCCATGTCCTAGAAGAGAGTCGATAGGGTTGAAGTGGATGTATAGGCAGGAGAGGGCCCTGATACAAAAAGACATCCTTAAATTTTTGAGCTTGTTGCGACCTCCAACAAAGCGCTCTATTGCCAACTTCATGTCACGAGCATTACATCAGCCTTTCTTGAAAAGGGAACTCATCCATAATGAAGCCTAGGCATCTTACAGCTCGGCACGGTGACGCATGAGATCGGCCATGCTCTGGGATTCTACCATACTCAATCACGGTACGATCGTGACTCATACATTCGAGTAAACCTCAACAACGTTGGCACGAGTCAACAGTATAATTTCGATAAGGTCTGTGAATTTACTGTCCTTGCCGATGAGGTCTGTGAACTTATTCTGTCCTTGTGCCATACTCGTTTGATACGGCATACAGTAACGAATTGCAGCAAACTCCAGCAACTGAGAATCACTTCGGGTTACCGTACGATTATGGAAGCGTCATGCAGTACGATGGGTGTGAGTTGATTATCCATTCATAGAGAAGTCCGGAGGAAAATAATCAGTTTTTGCAGTGCACTACATAGTAGCTCGATGACACCGCAGAGCTCCTGGCACACAAAACTCCCTCCTGCTGCAATATGCTGATGAAAGGGGGTAGCTTTAGTATGTCCGGAGATCAGAACTCAAAGCGGTACCGTATGCACCAAAGCCAAATAGGCTCTCCCTCTCTCAAAGTTGACTAAGTTACTCGTCTAACTCTTTACATTAGCAATCTAACTCAGTTACAATTCTGGATAAAACCAAATGCACGAAGAAACCCTCAATGGGATGAATCATCGTCGAAAACCTTGACGTTTGCTCATCAAATGACCTCGAATTCCAGACGCCTTTGCTGTAAACCCAAACATACATACGATACAGACGCTCAAGCCGGAATATCAGAACACTTTGGGACAACGAGAACAGCCGGCTTTTTCGGATGTTCGAATGATGAATTGGCTCTACAACTGTTCCAGTTAGTTGCTTATTTCAGCGGCCCACTTATTTGACAACCTCAAGATTCTGCTGATGGTACTCTACCTTTTTTCGGACTTACTATAGTCATATGTAGGTCTCTGTGTGAATACACCGGTACCAGCCTGCCGCTCACCTGGCTTCCCAAATCCACGGAACTGTTACGAATGCATATGCCCAAGAATGTTCGCAGGGTCAACCTGCCAAAATTTACCCACCGGTACAGCACCCAACTGCAATGGAAAAGTTGTCGAGGTAAGCTTTTCAGTTTCGTCCATTCCTTATCGGCAGAATCGTGAACTGGTAAGTATTGTTGGGAGCTTAAGGCTGGTCACTTTTGCTCGGAATGAGCTGCACCCTCTAGAGCCTCCCTTCCAAACGCTCCTTTTCATACCGTGAGAAAAGAATGTAGCAGAAATTCATAGCGCAGTCGTGGAAAGGTGGATAAAAGGATCATGCCGGTTGCACGGGAAGGTGGCCCTCCCTGGTTTCGAACCGTCTTGACTCTGGGTATGCGAAGCCTACTAGATACTACATAGTTACAATGATGAACTATCCCTTCCAACGTGTTCATCAGGTACCTAGATAGAACTCAGCGCAATATTATCTTTCAGGCTACCTCCACATCGTGGACTACGCTGAATGGTGTAGCCGGTAATCCAAACAGCTATTCGACTTCATCAACTCCCACCGACTGCTACTGGCATATCTCCGTAAGGAATTCATTAAAATGAAAGAATTGAAAATAAAAAACGAGTATACGGTAATCAAGAGTGAACTTGAGACCAATAGAATAATCAGCACGAGGAAGAACTGGTCGATCGAGCGGAGGCCGAGTTTTCTCTCCTTTCTAGATCGATATAAACAACGGTCTAGGTCGTTGTCTCATGCCCATGTGGGAGACTTCTAGGCAGTTCAAGAATAAACTGAACTTTCTTATGTTGAAAAAATGATCCTAATCAACAGGATTTCCGAAAAGGTTGAGATTTTCAGGCACCAGCTGGACGAAAGATCCAGATAAGACTAAGCTCCCCTCCGAGTAATTGCATGGAAGGCTGCCCATGGCAAGCAATCGAAATCAATCTTGGTAATTTCGACCTCTACGGAATCATGTGAGACACATTTCATCGTTGAAACGAAAGAGTTCAATCAGAATAGGACCATTTGTGTGGTATAATCAAATGAAGCTTTTGGAATCATCCCTCGAAGTTGGCCGTCATGTAGGCGTTTATAGAAGTAGGGTATACCACGGGGAGTTTAAAAATAAGGAAGGAAAGACGTGAGAAATCAAAATCGCTCAAGCTGGTTATGTTTCCAGAGTATGCTGTTCGTCTTCACAAGTCTACACTTCGGTCGACAATCTAGTAGGCATCCGTGGAAGAATTCGTTACAATCAGCTCAAATTTGGACTCGACTACCGTATTGTCTGATACTCACTCTCTTTCATATTACATTACATTGGTCTAGTAGTTGTGGATTATTGGGAAAACAGCAAATACATTTTTTTACTGCGATATCTCATTCATCAAATTCCTACGACTTGGGCGAAGTGATCGCTCTTAAAAGCATTAGGCTTCATTTGTTTCTATAGAAATTGATTGGAAACCTGTTATTGAAGGAGATGGGAATGGCTGCAGTGAATATTGCAAATTAAGTTACTGCCTAGCAATTTAGCCAAAAGGGGCAACATAGAAGATAAACAACTTCACAAAGTGGCCAAGTCAAACATCAAATGATATACCAAACCACGGGTAGTCCAAATACGCATTCAAACGCCAACATGACCACAAATTGAGAGCCAATTGTCCCTGCCATCTATAAAATGGTTTAAACTGGTATTAGTAAGCGGCTACCAATTTTCGACGTATTTTCATACTCTTTTTCCCTTTATGGTCTGCTCGTGAGAATTCCCACGAAATAACCCCATGTGGCACTTTCCCTTGTTCAGAAACATGGAAAAAAAGAACTCTTTACCCTCGTCGACAGCCTATTAAAAAATCTCATGGACAACATTAACAGTAAAAGATGAAACCTCCTTTGAGCAACAATGAAGCAGCAACAACAAGAATAAATGAACCAGTTGAAAATCACAGCTAGACATCCCGCTTTCCAGCTGTTACCGTACTAGGGAGCCTGTTAAGAAGCACGAAAGACTATTATGCTCTAATAAGAAAAAAGAAAAGGAAGAAACGGGATAGAATGTTTTTCAAGCATTTTAAAAAAGTGAAACTCTTCCCTTTCTCGACCACGAAAATTCTAACAGTATTTTAATTAAGTGACAAGAAAGTAGGATGGACCACTGGAGGAGAAGCCCCGAGCAATGTTATAAAGTTATATAAGAACTTATCTCAACCGGAATAAGAAATTAATAAGGCATAGTGTCAAGGTAACTCGTGAGATGAATAATCTACGCTCTAATATAATCTTCGAATACGTAATTGTGCAAAAGGCTGTTCACCGAATCTTCAGCGAGTGCCTCTGATTGATGAAGAGCGATATTCAGAGCTCTGAGTACTCGCCGTATTACCCGAAGTTGCTTGATGAAACTGAAAACCCAATTTTTAGAATGAATTTCAAAGATGGGAGAAACACCCTGGATAAATACTAGAATTAAATCTCACTACTGAAGCTTGGTCTCAAATAAAACACGATGACGGCTTTCCCTAACACGGTGAATGGCTCGTATAAGCTTCCCTTGCCTTTGACGGAGACGGCGGCGATTTCTGAACCAGCAATCCTACTCACTGCGCTGCAAACTTGATTGGAACCAATGTCAAAGAAGTAAGAGAACCTACTGAGTCACGCAGATTCGGCCACAACTCGTTAGCGCCATTTTCCATCGAAGCCTAGCAGAGCAGTGTGACAGAATAAATGACAGCAGATTAGGTTGCGAAAAAGGGAGAGTGTCCGGGTATTTCCAACTAATATCTGTCCTGAAAAAAATCTAATTGGAAGGTGTAATAGTATGGGCTATATCAGGAGGAAAGTGGTTAGGTCAACAATTACCGCTCAAGCAGCCTTAGACAGACCCAGCTATCAACCTCTGGTTCTCAGCGGGAAAACCCACAAGTCCCCAAGCAAATCGAAAATTCTAACTTCAACATCAGATGACTTAATTTCAAGCGGGCGATTTTCAATAAAGAGGTAACTAGTTGAATAATAGTCGTTGTAGACATTTGAAGTAAAGTTAGAAAACAGGTGAATTTGCGACTTCAGCTTCCAGAAAGAGGAGGTTTAGAAATCGGTCTTGTTCACAGTAAAAAAGGAAACACACTGATTTGCCAGAAAAATCACAACAGCCGGTATCCGATCGAAATTGAAGTTGTATGGAAGCTCATTGCGGGTGACATCAATCCTAAAATATGAAAATTGACAGGTGAAATCAATGCAAATTGTGAAAATTGAAAACCAATACTGCTCTGATGATCTCTACATGTGTAAACTTACATATAAAACTGAATCAACTCGGGTGAAGATGAGAAGTAGTCAGCAGCACCGTGGTAGATGGACAGCGCCGTAGTAGATGGAGCATGCCACCCACCTCCTGAGAAAAACACCACTACATCGTGGAAGGTATTGTGCTGAAAAACTCAATGTTTTGAAATTGCTTCTCTCTACTTCGTTATTCAGCAATAATGTATTGCAGAACAAACAACTAATGAATCCGATACACAAAAAGAATTCACCCTATTTTCAATAAGATCATGAAATGTGCGCTGAGTTAGCCGTCCCAGAACGCGTTCATCCTTTAAGCGCGNTCAGCAGCACCGTGGTAGATGGACAGCGCCGTAGTAGATGGAGCATGCCATCCACCTCCTGAGAAAAACACCACTACATCGTGGAAGGTATTGTGCTGAAAAACTCAATGTTTTGAAATTGCTTCTCTCTACTTCGTTATTCAACAATAATGTATTGCAGAACAAACAACTGTAATGAATCCGACACACAAAAAAAAATTCACCCTATTTTCAATAAGATCATGAAATGTGCGCTGAGTTAGCCGTCCCAGAACGCGTTCATCCTTTAAGCGCGGATGTACGGATGCAACCTGTTCAGCATCATTAGGCCTAAACGGCAGGTACATAAAGTAAACAAGTAAATGAAAAACTGTGAGAACGTTCGAGAAAGGATGCCCACTTGTATTCAAGTAATAAGCGACCAGTGGTGGCACACACCATACACAAACCTTATTCTGCTGTCTTCTTCGCTCATAAAATGATTTGGAATAAGGTAGGAATGGTAGTCACGAATAAATTCACGGACCCGTTTTCTAAAAACGTGTGCATGAAGTATAACGATTAAAATTTCTTTGAAAATAGTAGCGGAGAAAAAAACTGCGAATAAAAAAATCATGGTTACTGCACTTACTGTGAATAAAATCCATCCATAACAGAAAAAAGCTCGCGATTGGCATCAATGGCTATGACTAGAGGCAGCTAAAATACTCACCTTCCTCACGACTCGATACAATGGCGAATAATATAAAAAATTAAAAGCTTTTCGAGACGTTCACCTGTTTTTCTATAAGACCCCATTTATCCAGGAAGTACGAGTAATGGAGAGAGTCAAGTACAGCAAACTTAAGGGTGTTGTTCTCCTGAATCGTGCAATATATGGTAGTCGTCGAAATGGAGCCGAAAAAAAGAAAACTGCGCTGACCTCGTGCTCATGACATCCCATTCCACGTATCGATAGATTTACCGCTGGCTGAGGGTCATCGAAAAGATCAATACTCTTGAATAGTAATAATCGCCATATTAATCAATACAAATGTTACGTATACTGTAAAGTTCCACTTAATGAAATCACCAGCCTCATTCCTTTCCGGGTACTTCATATAATCATACAAACGACCTCGCATGCATGAGTCCGCCAATCTCAGTTCTCGATCATGGAGTCTTCGCCTGGCTTAAAAATTTGCTAGATCATATCTTAAGCAGAGTGAAGACGGGGGCGTGTACAAAAGGGAAAACAGCTATGTTCTCCTATTCTGGGGGATAACCCTATGTTTATTTTTCTGTTTGATCTTTACTAATATAATTATGATAACCAGTCAAAATGTAAAAGTCAAGCCGCAGAATGGTTCGTGTTCACATAATACGCATTTCCCAAACCGTTCTCCTTTCACCTTCACTGAATCTTTATGGGATGAATGAAAAGCGGAGAGCGAGTAAGAGAACAGTAATTCAAAACATGACAAAAAATTATCACCTACCTATGAGTTTCTGCACTGCTGTCAACTCAGGCTTAGAAATCTCATCGTAATAAACGCAGCAGCGAGATAATACTGCATCTGGAAGGTAAAATATAAACAAAATCTACACAAACGTAACAGTATAGATGCCAACACCACACAGGCAGTTCTCCAGTTTTCAATCCTAAATGATATAGAAACTTGCTTGCTTCTAAGCTTCCATTTCGCACAGCAACACACTTTTCAGTCGCGACCAGCACCTGCTCTGTCCAGTGGTTTCGACGTTTGTGCGATATTTCTTGCTGCTCGCTAGCATCAGCGTGGAGCTCATCTTCCCACCGGAACTTTGCCGAAGAGGCGCATGCCATGTTCCAGTCAACACTCGGCAACAGCGATCGACAGCACGAATCCATCTAAACGAATTTTCACGAGTTTTTGTTCTATGCATGCCTTTAATTTATTTATCAAAGCCTCTTTCTGTGAATTGCTGATTTGTTCGGCCTCTGAGATATTAAAAGTGCTTTCATAAACGAAGCTTGGTCATATGTGATGAAGATACGCTCGTATGCCCAAACAAATACATATGAACAGCGCAACACTAATCGATGCGTTAGTTAAGAGGATAAAGGGACACATTTTTGGCGTTTATCAGTTCTGCCATCGGAATGTGCCCCGCATTCGACTTCCACTCAGAATTGAAGAATACCAGCCAACTTGAACAAAATAATTGTTCGTTATAACTTTCTGCATTATCTCAGTGCAACAATGTCAGTCATCACATGAACGGTAGGGAATACATTCTATGAAAAGTTTANAACATCTTCCATAACCTCCGCACATGCTAGCCTATCGTTTGCAAGTACTTGCGAAATGTATTTCTGTCTAACAATGCCTCTCTCAGGAACATCCATTGACAACAAATCCTCCTCTTTACAATTCCAATATTCTCTCGCAAGCTAAAGTATCAACAACAGTACTGACCAAATGAAATGTATAAAAATTGGAAAGAACAATGGTCAATATAGAGAAAGATCAAGCGCCTAATGATAAGATGAGCTGCCTAAATGACAAAGACTTTCCCTTACCTCTGTAAAAAGTGATACATCACTCTGCCTCCTGTAGATGGGGGTTAAAAAAGTAACTAATAGCAACATGGACGACTGATTCAGTATTCTGGCAAATTTCTCCGACATAAGTTCAGTGTTTTTATCTGTAAACCAGTAGTCGTAAGAAGGAGAAGAACTCTTTACATATTACTTCAAGTACAGAAACTGAAGAAAAGTACAGCAGAACTCAGGCTCAGCAGAACTCACTGTATTGCAACCACTTTATAGGAGACGATTCTTCTCGATTATGTCGGACCCAATCTACTATATTGGAAGCAGTGGCCGCAGTTCCGTAGGACCATTGAAACTCGAAATCTAAATGAATTAGGCTCAATCAGTGGCTATTCTTTGACTGTATTCAATTGGTAAAACACGCTGAACATAATAGAAATGTAATTAATTTGTATCAGAATAACATCAATCAGAAGCAAGCTATAAGCTATAAGAAGCAGCAGTACATGGATCCAAAAAAANAAAAAAAGCTGACCATCAGGGATATACATGACAATGTCGCCCTCAAAACGCATCCCTATCTCCCGAGCCATTCTTTCGTTCGTAACAACAGCAAAGCGAGTGAATTCATCCTCTATAACATGCTTATTGTGGATCATACCAAGCAACATTATTCGCTAGAAATATTACCCATTAAGCCAGTCTGTAGCACCATTCCAGCCGCAGCAAAAGCACGGTACCCATAAGGGGTGTTCATCGCCTGCAAAGCTATATAAGGTGACGCAAATCATACACACGAAAAAATTGTTAATTGTCTGAAGTATTGAGAAAGCTACCTTGAATGGAAAGTAGCCGACAACTGAAGTGTGGGAATCTCGCTTAAATTCTTCCAGTTGTTTCGTCGATCGAATAACATGTAAAGGATTTCGTACGTTAACCACCCACCTGATAAAAGTATAACTAAATTATTAAAACCACCGCATACATAGTAGAAGGAGAGAATATTTTCACATGAGATCAACGTGACAGAAAATTAAATCGATTCGACAAACATCTAAGTGATGGTAAAATTTAGGAAAGTTTGATCGATGAAAACAACAGAAAGAGATATATAAGGACCAGAGATATCTCAAAACACTCTCCTTTGGAATGAGAAACCACCAGTTCTGTAAACCAACTATTCCTAGCTGTCCCTGGACTGATTTGTATAATACTCTCTTGAAAACCTCTAAGAAGCTAGCAAGATTGAATCAGTAATCTACTAGATGAACCTAATCATATATACATACATAGAAAAGATACCTTGCGTTCAACAGAAAATAGAAAAAAGGAAGTTATTTTAAGCAAATTAAAAGAGTAAAGATATACCTATAAATATGATCAACTGAATGCTCCCCTTGATACACAGTATAGACCGTGGAGGAGTAAGCGACTATTAATGGGAATTGGTAAATTTTGTACATGTTTCGGCACTCTCCTGTAGTTGTCCAACAATTAACCGCAACGAACCGTATCTGTAAGGCATCTGGTAAGAACCATAGTTTAGGAGAACTTGATAATACTAAGAACTGGTGTTCAACGTGGAACGTCATAATACCAACATTTTTGTGATTTCGTAGTACTAATGCCACCACTTCGAACGGATGTTTCAGTTGCCGAGAGTGAAAGCTCCATGGAGCATAGTACATTGCCACGACAAGATCACTGCGCCCCACAGCTCTAAAAAAGCTAAGGTCTTGAAAGAATCGTCTGGAAATTACAAAAAACAATAAATATTACTGACAAACAATAAGAAAACTGAACAACAATAAAGGAAACAACACAAACCTCTCTGGGTGAAATTTCCCAGTGTAATAATCGGTTAAGAAACTATTAGAATGATTCGAAAAAAATGGGCGAGGTCCTTTTGGTTTCAATACGGTTGGACGAGAATACACTTCACTAAACAAACAGCAAATTAAAATTAAACTAACTTAAGTTTTAAGCATATTCTTATGGTTCTTAAACATACACAATGATGTCCCATATGCTGGTAGCGGCCATGACTCCTAAGATGAATGTGAGACATTTAGCCATGTTCTTCAATGTGAAGTTTTTCAGAACAAAATCAGTGACGCTCACATCCAGAGGTGGCGCTAAATAAAATACTATTGTTTGAAGATCTTAGTCTAATATTCAGGAAAGGAACCTAAATATTTTCCTGCGAAATTCGCACATTCAAGGGGTGAAGGGCCATAAGCCGAATGCCATTGTTCGCCGTCCCATGTGCGCTCGACACTATCAAAGTACACGTTATGCTGACGTGGAATTCCCATATCGGGGTCCTCATCGAATTTTGGGTGCTCAAATGAGCTCGCGAAAACTTGTATTAATTTGAATCTTTTCTCCAGTTTTCCCAACACTATGTCTCCATATTGCGATATTCTTGTCTGGTGAACTATGGGTAAACAAGGAAAGTGCAGCCAGCAGCCAGTTTCCCACTTAAAATTCATATGATCGACAGAGTTATTGACTTAAAAAAGGAAATAAATCAAAAAAGAAAGTTGCATGAGTTAAAATTGTCAAGTTGATTAACAATGGAAACAACAACAACAACAACAACAACAACAACAAACAACAAATTGGAAACTATAAACAAGAAGGTGATTCAGAAGAAGAATCATGATCATCCTAACAAGTTTGACCGTGTATACATGGACATGATTGAATTACTTTAGGACGGTGGGAATGTAGGCAGGGAGGTAATGGTGCGGGAGACATGCCAAAATAGGAAAAAAACTAGTTTAGGTATCACTATGGCAACTAAGTAACTGCGGATTTTTCCGAGTACCAAGCAACTTTACCAAGCTATTTGACTTTCAAAGTAATTCGTAATTCGAAGATAATGACTAGGTACTGGGCATATTATGGTAAAATACAGATGAAAAAATTCTTTTTTTTTCAAACAAAAAAAAGTGACTACGTGTTTCTAAAATATACGCAATTACTCAGCTGCCATCCTAAAATAATCGCCCTTCAAAGACGTCCCATAAATCCCAAAGACATGACCTCTCCAGTAGATAAGATATAAGTGGAGATAGTGGTTCGACTCCTAGATTTTCATCAAGACAGTGCTACTGCATGTGCCCTGAAGTTTTGAATATAATACAGCAATAATTACTAGTATTGATATTCTAGTAATAGTAGTATGAGCCAACAGTAGAGGTGGTAATCTATGTGGATCTGAATAGTTTCTATAAAACGTTAAACGACCGAAAAATCAATAGAGAACTTTGGTGAATCGCTGGATAGGATAGCCGCACTACCAAAAAAGGAAATAATGAGTTTCGGCCGGACGAAGACAGCTATGGCACTGCCGCATTCTAGAGAAATGCGTTAAATCTAAGCAATTCATACTGAATCTTCTTCGAATATATTTAAACATAGCTAAGCAAAAGATGAGAAATCACACACCTGTGAAATACACATACATACCGGAATATCAACAACATATAGGGTAATGAAAAGATCTTATCGATGGTTGAAGAGGGTGATCGATGAGGTATTTTCCACCGCAATACTCCAATAAAGACGAAAAATAGAAAAAAAAAACGATTGAAAGTACTCGGTAGAAATAGCAGATGGAGGAGCGACACAGCAATAGAGAGGAAGTCAAGTTTCAGTGACCTCTTGTTTTCGATTCCTCCTTTGTGCTGACTGAATTCAACTATTAACTTTGAACTTTAATTTCCAAAGAAAAGTTGAGGTATAGGCTGCATATGTTACCATACAACATACCAGACTGTTTTAGGTCCATAATATTGGTCAAGATTCTTTCAGTGCGCGGAGATGAGATGAGAATTTACTTTTCAACCAGATTTTCAAACCCATTTTCTTTTTCTCAGACGTTTTCTCATAGATTTCTTCAAACTTTTGCGCCTAGGGCACAACAATTTGCCATTTGTGCACAGTCTCGAGGCAGTTTCATATGAGAAATAAGAATCGAAACTAATACCTGTTTTTTGCTGACGTTTAACATTTTGAGAAGATTCTTCGTTATCAGATGAAATTTCCTCTTCAGCACTAGCTTCCTCTTTGTAATTAGCCAGAAATGCTTCTACTATACCTTCGTCTATTAGCTCGGTTGCTTCCTTTTCTGCGTATTCGTTTAACTTTTGATATGGAACTGAAACAAACTGTGAAAGAGCTGTCCACCATAATGGTATCAAGAACTAGAAAAAATGAAGACCTTCAAAAATACTGTTGCAAACAGGGCTGACTGCATGAGAGGGACGAATGAAGTAGATATAGTAGATATTTTATCGTAACTAACCTGTATCAGCTTCTGAAGAATTCTCAGAAGTATCGCACATCGTAATGAATCATTTTTGCATTAACTCGAGCAGGCTCTACAAAGAACGTCTTCAGTTTTTTTTTTCCATTTATCTGAGTAATTTCCAAGAGTAATTGCGGGAGGTGATTAATGGCACGAAGTACTTAGGCTTCCTCGGTTGCCAAAAATTGCAGCACAGCACAACCAATGTTAATACCCTTCGCTCGATAAAGGAGCTAAATTCCCTTGAGCCACAAAGAAAAAGCCATATTCACGGGACACCAGCATTGTTATCAATTCAGGTAAGCTACGACCAGCCTCCCATAAAATATATCATAGAAGGCAACAGAATTTCCTATTACGGAAAAGTGATGCATGGCACTTTGATAAGCAAGAAACAGCAGCTTTGAGGCAACGACGCCTTGCAACTGACTAGCTGGCGATTTGGGATGGAAATAATTCAATTTCTGCTCCCTGCAAGACCATGAAAGTGCACCGAGCTATGACTTCCATCAATAACCTTAACGATGTCTGAGATATAGGAGTATCCTATATATAAACTTTTCGGAGCTAGATAATTTGGTACTATTCTACTATTACACCCCCAGAACCATTCTACTGTTACACCCCCAAAAACTCAAAATTTTAATTTTCGATGAAACTTNAAGTTTCATCGAAAATTAAAATTTTGAGTTTTTGGGGGTGTAATAGTAGAATAGTGCCGATAATTTATTAGGAAAAACTAGGACCCGATGACAGGATCTAGAGAGTTCTAAATCTGAGATGCGATAGTAGTGGGCTTTAGAAATCTTATTCCATATAGAAAACAAGAATTTCACGCTGCCATGCACGAACACAAATGTAAAATAAAAGTGAAGATAAGCATGTAACAGTGATAAGAGATAACCCAGCTTTAAAGAACTCAAAATAATCCATCGTAAAGGAAACGGGAATAGAGACAACAGGTACAAGTAAGTCACAAGAACAGTACAGTACATGATCTGTCAGTTAGGCGTCAACCTTCAGATGTTATACGTGTTCCGCGCGATACATCATACAGGACGCCAACCCTGTACAATTCTAAAACTTGGTGATGTGTTGGAAAACTACCCTAACTTTTTCTTCCGTATTCTCTTTGTTCATTGAGGGGACTGTTCTCATTCAATTGCTCAAGTGTTTCCACAACTGCTGCCTAGTTGAAGTTGTTAGAAAAGTGATCAATTTAGAAATAAAAAGCGTAGAATAGTGTGTCCTAATAACTTCCTCATTCCAAGCCGTCGCTTCCCTTAAAAATACTCGAAACAGTGTTAATAGAGGCTTCCACTTATGAATTTACGCAACAAAATATTTGGATTTTGGAGATCGTTCTACTTCCCCTCAACCGATGGAAGCTATCTAGGGGAATAATGAACTAAAAGACATTATGAGAGCCATTCTTCTCTTTTCTATCGAGATGACAGGCGAACTTCACGATTAAATCCTCTTCGATCTTGATGTGTCGAAGAACCAGTTACATGACTAATCAGTTGGAACCTTTTCCATAGAAATACTCTCATATGCTACATCATCGGATTGGAGCTTCGTCCATTGATAATTTGATGAGCCTTTCTTTTTCTAGCTTCTCATTATTTATGCAGTTTTATGTCTCATCTTATCTCCAGTTGTCCGATTCATATACTGCTCTAATCGGTCATGAATTCCCATTGTATTTTATCGAAATCGTGCCAGTTGTGCTATATAGTTATGTGTTGATGACATCAGTAGTAATCAGCATAAATACGACTATGTATCCCTTATCCTGTTCCAGTCCACTAAGCACTTTCTCCTTCTTAGCAACCAGCTGTCATGAAAACATAGAAGAGCGTACTTTGATGAGATTTATTGAACTTAAGGTTGGTTTTAAAGAAATTATGTACAAGCAAATACTGCAGGAGGTTAAAATTGGAATTGCTACAACGTAGATTTTGGTCTTCAACCCATTCGCGCTTCTTTGCCGCCTATTTCCGATCTCACTGAAATAGATTTTATCATTTTTCTGCAAACTAGGAGAACAAAGTTCGCTATTTGGGTGCAAGAGTCTTAGATATTTAGCATCAGGTAGTCTTGCGACTGAGTCAAAACCTAAAGGACCTGTTCCGATATAAAATGACAGATAAATTGGTGAAAATGTAGTTGGGGGGGGGGGGGGGGGGGGGGG